TTTTTTTTTTTTTTTTGGTTTTTCGAGACAGGGTTTCTCTGTGGCTTTGGAGCATGTCCTGGAACTAGCTCTGTAGGCCAGGCTGGTCTCGAACTCACAAAGATCCGCCTGCCTCTGCCTCCCGAGTGCTGGGATTAAAGGCGTGCGCCACCACCGCCCGGCTGGGGAGGTTTTTAAAGGCTTCTAGAAGTTATTTGTTCTCACTTCCCTTTGACTAGAATTTCATCAAATGGCTTCTGCTAACTGCGCGGGAAGCTGAGAATCTGAGTTTGGAGTGAGGCAGAGGAGCAGCTATATTGACAAACAACTGATTCTGTCACAGGAACGGTTCCTATGGGAACTGGGCCAGGGAGGAAGAGCTGATGTGTGTTCTGTGTCTCCTGTCATTTCTGGTCTCCTGTAGCCTTGGAGAAGAGCTTTCTTAGCTCTTGCATCTTCACTGTGAGATTCACCCTCTAGCTTTAGAAAGCCCCTTTCTTTGCTTTTATTTCTTGAATGGGAGAAGAGGATTCGCCCAACACACACATTAAAGATGCTTGCTGTGCTCTCTGACAAGACTTTCTGCTGGGAGCAGGGACTTGTTCATGAATGATCACACACTGGCCATTTCCAGGAGCTCCTGCTCGAGTTGTAGGCGAGTTGTTGTGGTTTGAAATAGGAAAGCAGATGTTTTCAGCATGTTTTGCTTTCTTTTAAATGAGCCGCTAGATTTGTGCCTGCATAAGGGGAAATCAAAGGAAAAACTCTCAGGAAAAGCTCTCAGCCTTAGTGGCCTGTTTGTATAGCCTCATTTGGATGGAAGTCAGACAAGAGAGTGCTGGGAAGTAGCCAGTTCTAACTGAGGATGGAGGTGCTCTATGAACAATTGCTCTCTTGTAACTATCTTGGATTTGCCACTGAGGAGATTTCTCCACTGCTGTGTCTCTAGGAAGGTCACAGAACAAGGCTGCATGTCCTCTTTGCCACACCCGGGAAGGAGACCCACACGGTGGTACCTGTGTGCAGAGTTCCTTCAGCGGTTCCATTGCTCCTGAGGATCCCAAGGCCCCAGACAGATGCTCATCCATATGCATTCAGTGCCAAAGCTCACTTGCAGGAAAGCACTGTGGAGACCAGAGCCCCCAGTCCCTACCGCAGTGCCCACGTCACATGAAGCAGGTGCAGCTGCTCTTCTGCGAGGACCACAGGGAGCCCATCTGCCTCATCTGCAGGCTGAGTCAGGAGCATCAAGGCCATCGAGTGCGTCCCATTGAGGAGGCTGCACTGGAGTATAAGGTAGGTGCTCACTCCCACATGGCTGCTCACCTTGACTTGTGTTCTTCATCCAAGCCCTCTGGGATGTTATTGCATTAGTCAGGACTCCTGGACTCTCACCGGTAAAAACACAAGACAAACCAGGACAGCAAAGGAGGAACTGATCATTAATATTGTTCAGAAACCCGAGAGTTCTAGTTTTGAATATGGATCCAGGGAATCCCTTGGTGATGGATTCACCCCATTTCTTTCCTAGAATCCCTCCTTTTGCTCTCAATTGCAGCACCCCTGCTCTGCTTCCAGAAGCCGATCCATCCCTCTAGGATTGGTATGAGCTAAAATGGCAGGAATCAAACGTAAGCATCTAAACCAATATTCTTCTCCAGGAGCAAATCCAGAAGCAGCTGGAGCTTCTGAGGGAGCTGAGGGGATGTGTGGAGCAACACAGACTACAGGGAGACAAGAAGACAGAGAACTTCCTGGTGAGGCCCGGCAGCCAGCCCTTGCCCCTTTACACCTGCAGGAAAAAGGAGGGGAGTACCTGCAAAGGTGCAAAAGCTCCCGAGGCTCCGCCCTGGGTCACAGGGCAGCAGATGGTCACTTGTTCCCCAGTCTCGGTGGTGATGGTAGGGAGGGCTAAGGAGAGCTCATTCATTCTTGTAGCTCCGTGTCACCTCTAAGGACAGCTAGATGGGTTAGAGAAACTAGAGGTTGTCACGTCAGAACATTCTCTGTGTTGTTTATATAATTGCTGTTAGCACGGAAGCTGCAGCTCGGTTGGTGGAGCAGAAGCACAGAAACATAATCACCGAGGCCCCGAGTGCATCCCCAGGATGGCAAAAACTAGATGTGTGCACACACGGATGACCTCAGTGTTTGGAAGGTAGAGGTCAGAGGATAAAGTCAAGCTCATCGTTACTATGACAACCAACCTGGGCTACATTAGACTCCCACATATACGAAAAAAATCTGGTTGGCACACATTTGTAATCCTAGCACTCAGGAGGAAAAGGCAGGAAAACTGCCACAGGTTTGAGTCCAACCTGGTCCATATAACAACTTCTAGGCCACCAGTTCTACATAGCGAGATCCTGTCTTAGAATGGTAGAGATAATAATAATAGAAGTTTTTATAAATTTTATAAAAAACTATATTGACTCCTCCCCCAGTTCTAGGGATAGGATCTAGGACTTTGTATTTTCTAGGAAGGGGTTTTATCCTTGAGATAAACGCCCAAGCACCTCCTCTTTTGTCTTTTTGAGACTAGATCTCACTATATACTCCTGGATGTTAACCTACTAGAATGATCTCATTTTTTTCCTCTGGTTTTTCAAGACATGGTTTCTGGCTGAGTAGCCCTGGCTGTCCTGGTACTTACTCTCTCTGAAGACCAGACTGGCCTTGAACTCAGAGATCCACCTGCCTCTACCTCCCGAGTCCTGGGATTAAAGGTGTGCAGCACACAGCCCCAAAGAATGCCCCCAGCTTAACTAAATACATCTGCAAATGTCCTACCTCCAGCTAGGATCATATTCTGAAGTACTGGACTTCAACATGGAAATTGGGGGGGGGGGGGCATTGAACCTAGCACCATATTCAACAGATTTCCCCAGGAACTAGTCCCTCTTATGCTTAGTCTGTTCTGGAAAGTTCCATACAGATTCCTCCTGATTCTGGAGCCCAGGTGTCCAAGAGACTAGAATCTTAGTTACATTTAAATTGCTCTGAAGATGGAGGCTGGAGAGCTGGCTCCGCAGTTAAGAGCACTTGTTATTCTGGCTGAGGACTCAAGTTCAATTCATAATACTTACATGGTGGCTCACAGCCATCCTTAACTCCAGTTCTAGGGGGTCTGAAGCCCTCTTTTGACTTCCGAGGGCACACATGTGGTACACATACATGCATCCAGGCAAAGCATTTGTTCACATAAAAATAAAAACAATTGCGGCAAAGAGCCACTGTGAGCAAGGTAACTTATAAAGAAAGCATTTACTTGGCTCACAGTTCTAGAGGGTTAGAGTCCATGGCCATCATGCTGGGAACGCGGCAGCAGGCAGGTAGGCACGATGCTGAAGCAGTATCTGAGAGCATACATTTTGGTCCATAGGAAAGAACAAGAGCTAACGGGGAATGGTGTGGGCTTTTGAAACCTCAAACTCAGTGATACACCTCCTCCCAAGAACACACCTCCTAATCCTTCCCAAGCAGTTCCACCAACTTTGGACCAAACATTCAAATATATGAGCCTATGGGTGGGGGCTATTCTCATTTAAACTTCACACTGAGCAAGTCTGCCTCTCTCCCATCTTTGAGAGGTGGGCTTTAAGGGCATCCCTACAGCACACATCACACATCTCCCAATTCTGTGTTCCCCAGAAAGAAACCGAAATCCAGCAGCAGAGGGCTTCCTATCAGCTTGAGAAGCTATACCAGTTCCTGGAGCAGCAAGAGCAACTCTTTGTGGCCTGGCTGCAGGAGCTGGGCCAGACCATTGGCAAGGTCCGAGAGACACATGACACCCAGGTTTCCCGAGACATTGCCCTCTTAGATAAACTGATTGGAGAACTGGAGGCCAAGCAAAACCAGCCAGAATGGAAGCTCATGCAGGTGAGTGCAAGCATCCTAGCCTTCCCCTGCCTGCTGTGCCCAGTGGGATAATTTAGGCTCTTGTCACTGCCAAGGCAGGAAGTAAGGCCATGGAGGCCTGGAATGGGATTTGGTTTCAATGACTGTGGTGTCTTTGGGGCTCGTGCCTCTTTGATAAAGTCTCTTGGGAGCCCAGAACATCTCAGTATCTAAGATGCCCCTGGCATCACCTAGAAAAGACTAGAAGAACTGCAGTGCATTGAACCGTGAGCTCTGACAAGGCTTCTGCCCTTTGAACAGAATATAATAAAAGAGGGAGGCTCCTATTTCCTGGTACCCTAGAACTGGGAGCCCTTGAAAGGCCAGGGAGCAGCTTGCAGCCTGGGAGTCACAGACTCTTAGAGACAAGTAATGGAGAGCTTCCCTCTTTTCTCTCCTAGGACATTGGAGTCACATTGCACAGGTACAGAGATGTCCCATGGTGTCCCCCTGGGTGTCTTACAGGAAGCATTTGGATGGAACAGTCCTAGGAAAGACCTGGGTCTATAACTCAGCACTCCTGTCTCCTGAAGCTTCCTGAGACCATCCTTCCTGGATCTTTGTGGGAAGAACAGGATGGGAGTTTGGCCGGGTGGGAGCGGGGAGGGCATGGGCAGAACACTGAGAAGGGGTTTGTCCCAGTCCTGCGGGACACAGACAGTGGTTTGTGTCCTCTCACATGCATTCCATGTCATTTGCTTCAGGACAGTGTTCCCTGAAGAACTGCCTCTGGCCTCAAGCACTTTTGGGGGGCCTTGGGGATCAGTTTGGAGGTGGGCTAAGTCCAGCAGGCAGGGAGAAGAGAGAAATGAGATAAAAAGGCTACATCTCATAGTTACTTTGGGAGCTTTACAAAATGCTGGTGTCTAAGCCACAGTCGTACCAATTAAGTCTCAATCTTGGGGCTGCGACCTGGACATTAGTGTTTTTAAAAATTATTTTTCCAGTAAAATATGTATAACATAAACTTTCAGCCATTTTATGTTTGCATGTGAATGTTAATACATTCACATTAGTGTGAACCTGTTACCCCTCCACCTCCAGAACCATTTCCTCTTTTCACACAGGAATTCTGCCCTGGTAAACACTCATTTCTCATCCTCCCTACCCTATTGCCTGACAACCACCATTCTGTTTTTCCTGTTTGTTAGTCTGGCTGTTCTAAATCCTACATTTTAGCAGAATTGTACAAAGTTTTCCTTTAGCTTTGGCTCACTTTCATTCAGAATAACGCTTTCACTGTTCGTGTTGTGGCATGCGTCAGAGTTCCACTGATCTGAACTGCCAAGTGGCATTCCCTGTATGCAGACACCACATTCATTCACGGATGGACATTTAGACCGTCTCTACCTCTGGACTACCGGGACTGGTATTTGGACACGGATACACAAGCACTACTTGAAATGCTGCTTTCACTTTCTCAGATATTACACTTACAAGTGGAATCACTTCATGTCCATCTATTTAAATCTGTAAGGAATCTGTATCCTTTTTCCCGCAGTAGAAGCATCATTTCACATTCCCATTGACAGTGCTAATTTCTCCACATCTCGCCATCAACCTGAAATTCCCTGCTATCATTTTTCACTGCTGTTATAATGGCTAATCTAATAGATGTGAAGTGGCATTCCGTTTCTTTCCGTTTTTCTTTCCATAGAAATAATACAGGCGTATAATTAACTTGACATAGAGAATTCTGCTAGTGAGGGCAGCTCAAGTTTAAGGCTGTTACTTAAACACATTGGGATTTTTATAACAGTGGCTCAGAGATGCTGGCCTGCAGCTGAAGGTGAGGACCAGAGGCAGAACTTTGAGGCTAGGGAAGATTTCTTTGAGTCGCCCAAACTGGGATGGGTGTGTTTAGTGTGGATGATCTCACTGTCACCTCATAGGGTCTCGGGCTACATCTTGCTCTTGTCTTCTCTGGCCAACAATCTCTTATCACTAGGGCCAAGATGGTGACTGTCTCTGAGCCACTGGCCACTCCTCCAGAAGTCAAAGAAAAGATCCACCTGCTCTACCAGAAATCAAAGTTTGTGGAGAAGAGTATGCAGAACTTCTCAGGTGAGCGAGCTCGGAGGAAGATGAGAGGCACTGTCCACCTCCTCCCTGGATCCACGCTGCCATTCCCTTCGCCACCTACAAAGCTTTATGACCCTGCCTCTAGCTTCTTTCTGATCTAACTCATTCTGCTAAGCCAGGCTCCCTGTTCCCTTTCCCCCATTTCAGAAACACTACGCTCTGAGATGGAGACATTCGATGGTGTGGCTGTAGCAAAATGCAGAGGGCACCAGCCTAGCATGCCACGGACCCAGGGTTCAATGCCCAGCGCTTACCTAAAGTGGGATGCTGGAAACACACAGGACTATGATATTGTACTGTACCCAGAAGTGGAAGCTGGAGGAGCAGGATCTCAGGATGACCTTCAGCCCCAGCAAGCTCAAGGCCCGCCTGAGCTACAGGAGACCAACAAACGAAAAACCCGCTCTTTCCTGAAATGGAAGCCTTTATTTGTAAGTACAGTGGTGGAGATATAAGCTAAGAACTTCTGTAATTGTCCTTTATCTGTCGCTTTGGGGGAACTATTCAGAAGAGGGGGGAAACACTTCGAATAAAGGCACCAGACAGGTCATAAAAGGCCCCCACAGCTCTGCTCGGTCCCTCTGTGTGTGCCTTGTTCACTGAACTAACCTCTTCGTTCTCTAGGGTGCCTGGGGGGCCCTGGTTATAACTAAAAGAGGATGTAGAGCCCTAAGCAGGAGAATCCCGCCTTTCCGTGTGGGATAGTATAATTCAGACCCCCTGAACAGCATGCTCAGAACTTTTTTTTATTCCTTCTTTTCCCCCCTGTAGTTCCAGAAGTGATTGTTGCTCAGGAACGTGCCGGTAAGTGCCTAGACCAAGGCAAGAGGCAGCCTTGATATATTGGATCCCTGTATGTTCCTATCCCCTCCCACAATCTCAGTGAAAACCCTCTTCCTTAGACGGAGAGAACCTTGGGAGAAGGTTGCCACAGATCCCCAGCCCAGTTGGTGGCCTTGCTCTTCCTGCAGTTTCTGGGATTCTGACCTAGCAACTGCTCACTGCTGCCTCAACTTCTCTGCCAGGAAGAGTGTGAGATTTGGAAACAAGTCATACCTGCTGCCTGACAGTCCCCAGAGATTCTAAAGTCACATCATCATCCTGGATACGCCTAGCTTTGACCCCAGCTGCCATCACTCGGAAGTGGAGTTTGAGATGAGACTGCCGGTCCTGGGAGCATGGGAAGCAGCGGCAAGTAGGGAACTACAACTCTGCAGGAAAATACAACGGGGTGACAACGGTGGCAAAGCAACAGGAATCCACTTCTCTCCCTACTGTGAAAGGGGCACACAGCTAGGAACATTCTCTTTACAGCATGACAGCCAGATCCCACACCTACAGTTCACCAGCGTCTCCTCCTCCAGTTCCCTTCAACCTGGGGCACAGGGTGAAGGGAAGAACAAGGCTCTTCTGATCCAGTCAGACCGGAGACTGCAGAGTGCCCAACACTTTCCCTCCATTCTGGCCCCCGGTCTTCTGTCTTGCTTTCGTGCACTCAGCAGTCAGTAACAAGGTATCAGCTGATATAAGGGATGCAATAAACAAGAAAATAACATTTGGCTGGATGTGGTGGTGCATGCCTGCAATCCTAACAGCCTGGGAGGCTGAGGCAGGGTGGTGCCTGTGAGTTTGGGTCTAGCCTGTTGGATTTCAGGTTATTTTGACTGTGGCCCAGCATCCATACAAAAATAAAGAAAATAATGCTGGGGCCTGTATTAGTTAGTACCCCTGGTGCTGTAATAAATGCCCCATCAAGAGCAACTTGGAGAGAAAGCCTTTATTCTGATTCATAGTTCAAGAGTTTTGTACTTCATGGCAAGTCAGTTACAGTGGCAGGAACTAGAGGCAGAGAGTCACATCGCATCCGTCAAGAGGCAGAGAGTGACGAACTTTGAAAGCCCATCTTCCTCCTCTGTTATGCAGTCCAGGACACAACTCTAGCGCAGGTTGCCACACAGATTACAGGAAGGGTATTCCCCGGTCAGTCAGCCTCATCAAGATGCCCTCTCTCAATCGCGCCCGGAGGCTTGGCCCTTGAGCGAGCACACAGCTTGTGAGTTGAAACCTTCAGAGTGGGCAAGAAGCATACCAAAAACTCGCAGAGACACTCCAACACTATCGAGCAAAGGTGAAGACGGCACACACAGAAACGACACGCAGTGGCGTTCAGAAGAGGAAGTACATGGCTGCTGGGAAGTCCTGCATGAGTCAGTACTCTCAGAGGACTCGGGACAGAAGACTCCACTTCACTTTCCCTCCTCGGCAAGAATACGTCCTGTCTGCCCTAGTCGAAAGGACACAGAAAGCCTACAGACACTAAATCTACACAGGCTCCAAGAGGCGCACACACTCTTCCTGTCTCTTTGGTTCTCACTCTTTTCTCATGTTGGTTTTTCTGAGACAGGGTTTCTCTAAGTAGCCCTGGCTGTCCTGGAACTTGTTCTATAGACCATGCTGGTCTCAGACTCACAGAGATCCACCTGCCTCTGCCTCCCGAGTGCTGGGATTAAAGGTGCACACCACCACTGCCCAGCTCAGTTCTCACTCTCTGGGTTTTGAAGGTGCCATCTTTAAAGGCTCCACCACATTCGGCTCTCCATATCATGCATTGTATGGCCAATGCTCTCCCTCCATCTCAAGGTCCGATCATGGCCATGAGACTCTTATATTCTAAATCTCATCCCTGAAGGGAATTATGCATCAGCTTCCTTTCAGGCAGACTGCTGCTATTCTTATCATTATCAATGCTGTATTGTAACTTGCCTTTTTAATTTATTCTATTTATTGGCTGTATTGTATTGTACTACATTAGCATGTGATTTAACCACAGCTCTGAAGGTAGGCTGTACATGTTTTACTAGATAACAATATCACTCTTTTGCGTGTGTGCGTTTGTGTGTGTGTTTGCATGAATGTGTATGGTGTGCCTGTCTGCATGATGGCTGTACATATATGTGTAATGCCTGTATATGGCACCTGCAGAGCAGAGATCAACCTCAGCTCATTCCTCAGACGCCGTCCTTTCTGTTTGTTTGTTTTCTGTTTTTTAGCGCAGAGTCTCTCATTGACCTGAACCTGGCTAAGTTAAGCAGGATGGCTGGCCTGTAAGCCGCAGGGACTCCCCCATCTCTGCTCCCCCAGCACTGGGATTATGTCTAGCTTTTTTTTTTAACAGTAACAACAACACACGCACACATGTTTCCTACTGTTTGCTCATTTAAGTTTTGTATAATAAAATGTAAGCAGATACCTCCCAAAAATTGTCGTTGCCAGTTTTCATACTCTGTTTTAATCCACGGTTAAGTGAGTCAGCTTAAAAAGAAAAAACTTCGACATCCTACTAGAGGCTGTCATTTCATTCATGGAGGTGGGGGGACAGGACAGCCCTAACCTGGATGACACTATGCCTTTGCCTGCCCAGAAATGAACTGCTCTAGCCCAGTCATTGGAGTGCTCAGACCTGAGTAATTTACACAGGTCCCCTGTGACTAAAGAGACTTAATATGGAGCCCGCATCTCTTAAGGGTTCTGGGATGCCTGGGAGATTCTAGTGGTCTTCAGGTGAAATACTCTAGGATAATGGGCTGCGGGGTATTAACTGTGGGGTATTAACGGGGCTGTCTTTTCTGCTGTAAACACTGTTTATCTCTATGGGAAAGCGACGGAATGAGCTCTTTATTACTAGACAGCGGCAAAGGAACAAACAACTGAGGGAAGTAGAAGTTTTCCTGCCCAACTGTGGATTCCGTGGGTATCTGTGATGCACGCCTTTGTGATGTCTGCCCTAAAACCCCACTTTAATCCCATTCCACACGAAACGCTCTTTGACTCTAAATCGGCCGTCCTTCTAGCAGTAAGAATAAATTCATTTAATTTGAATTGAACCTAAGTCTTTGGTTTCTCCCAGTGGATTCCAACGCCACACCAGGAATAGGGGAATCTGTGTCCACGGATTGTACTAAACGTAATCAGTACTTCACTAGGAATAAACTGAGTTCGGAAAGAATGGAGAAAGAGCTAGGGTTGGTGGGTCACACTTGTTTTTTCTTGCACTCAGGAGGCTAAGGCAGGAGACCACCACGAGTTTCAGGTCAGAAAGGATGGCAAGTCAGTGAGAAGCCAAAAAAAAAAAAAAGAGCAGGGAAATGGAAAATCTCCTTTAAAAATATGACAATGTAGAGGTTAGTAAAGTGGGACCTACGCGCAGCTCAACCCGCAGGGTCCGCGGAAAACCTCACAAAAGGGCGGACACCAGCACGGAACACACCCACGGCGCGTGCAAAGGAAACCTAGGCCGAGCACGAGAGGCCAACTTCCCGCAGGGCCTCCGCTCGTCGCCCGCCCGCCCTCCCGGCCACCAGGCGGTCTCGGGTTACACTTTAGAGGGAACTACATTTCCCAGCGAGCACAGGGTTAGCCGCTCACGGTGGGGGGGGGAATGCGCGCACGCCAGGGAGGGCCAGAGGTAGCTTCTTGCTTCTTGCTTCGCAGTGAGCTACAGAGAGTCGTTCCCGCCTGCCGGGCCTCCCTTGGGCCCTAAACTCCATCAATCAGCCTTCTCCCTTTGAAAGCACAGAGTGCTCCTTCGACCGGGCCGACCAGGCTTCCACACCGGAAGTGGCTCACCGGAAGTAGTCCCACAGAGGGGGACGTATCCGGCCTCCCAGATGGAACTGGGTATTTATGTCCTCTCCGCGGAAGGCGGCAAATTCCCAAAGGGTGCTGACAGTCTTTGAGGACACTCAAAAGGACGAGGCGAGAGATCAGCCTCTCGCGCCTGGCTTTCTGGGTCATTTCCAGAACCCAGATCTTAGTGCAGGGGACGGCTGAGCGTGCCGAAGGCAGAGGGCGGTTTGGACAGCCAGGTTGGGGCGGTGAGCATCATCCCTAACTGAGTTGCTAGAGCGGCTAGGGTACGACGTGCGCCCCCAAAGAGGGCCACGGTTGGCCGTAGGCTGAACAGTGGGCAGAATCACCTGAGTTTTCACTAACTACAGCTTTGTTTCCCACTGGAAACTCATGCATTAGTGAAGCTTCTTCCCAGAGAAAGAGCCCAGCAGAAACAGGCAGTGTTCCTGTGGTTTAAAGTTGGCTCTAGACTGAGAAATGGGGCCTTCTAGAAAGGGCTGGATTCTCCCTTCCCGTGTCACCAACTGACTGAGAAAGAGACTGCAAGTGCGGGGCTGCACTTGAGCTAGTGACACGCAGAGGTGTGGGGCGGAGCGAGAGCAGAAAGAAGGAGGGAGGGAAGAAAAGGAAGATCGCACAGAAAGTCATCAGACCAAGGAGAATTCAGAGCATTCAACAGGCATCGAAGAAAGGACAGAGTCATCATGGCCTCGGTGTCCACTCATGGAAACCAAGAGAATGGTCCACACTTGCCACCATTTAGCAAGCAGAGCCTGTTGTTTTGCCCAAATTCAAAACTGCACATCCACAGAGGAGAGATTGCCAAGATTATCTGAGAGTGTCAGGAAGAAAGTTTCTGGAAAAGGGCTCTGCCATTTTCTCTTATAAACATGCTTGTCACCTAGGGACTTGTCCACCAAGGTTATTTAGCTGCTAATCGAAAATTTGGATCATTACCTAAAGTTGCACTGGCTGGTATCTTGGGATTTGGCCTTGAGAAGGCTTCCTACCTAAGAGTGTGCTCCGTGGTACTGTTGGCCCCGGGCATAACAGGCACTGCCTGCTTACCTGTGAGGAGTGCAAAACCAGACATGGATTAAGTGAGAAGGAAGGGCCCCAGCCATCTGCTCCCTAAACCCTGTCTGTGATTTTCAATGATTTCTAAACCTCTGAATTTGTACACGTTTAAACTTTCAAGTGTACGTACTCTTAGATAATCTACTTCTGTTGAAACAGAAATGTTGTCCTTCTCATGTTCCTTTGAAATGCTTGTGGAAGGCTTTAGGTTGACTTGGGCATGGTATATTCTCCTGTTCTTCAAGAACTTATTGGGATCCATCACACACTATACAGGAAATAAAGTTACACACACACACACCAGCTTAGAGTTTCCTGAGAGAATTTTGAGTAGCTCTGGGTAGTCTTCCCTGCAGTTATTTTACTCTGCTTTTGTTTTTCTTCTTGAGTAATTTAAGTTCTCAGATAGGGAACAGGAATGAATGATGTGGAAGTTAGTTGGGAAGCCACAACCCAAAGACAGTTCATGTATATGGATCTAGAAGTCCAGGAAAGATTGTGTTTTAGTACTAGAAGTCCATCCTAAGGTCTAGGAGCTGAGATCTGTAACTTGGTGAGAAATATTTCCTGTGTCAGGGTCACCATACAAACCAGCTTGTGTGATCAGGAGCTCATCACAGCGCTGGAGCTGCGAAAGTGCCCATTGCCTGTAGGTGACCTGCTAGACTCATGGGCAAATCGCACAGTCAGAACTCAATAGCCGGTTCTTTTACCAATTGTTAGTGGCCTCAGAGAGGAAAGACAACTGCCTAACCTGCTCTTCCAGGGAGCAGCTTACTGGAAGGAGAATTGGAAGACTGAATTAATTCTAAAAATGAGAAACTTGGGATTTGGGGGATCTCAGAGGCAGCGAACATAATGGCATGAGTTGTGTTTCTTCTCCAGACAACCCGTTACATGGGAAGTGTGGTTCTTCCTTTTTGGAACCTTTGGCTTTATGGCACATTGGCTGAATCCCATGGAAAAGCCCCCCTTGCATCTTTGCGGCTTCTCAGAAAAATGCTCTGTCTACAAATCAGCATCTAAATATATAGTGTGCATGTGGGTGGGGGCTGCTTATACTAATGTATCTGCAAACCTGGACCATGGAGGTAAAATGGAAATTTCGTCAGAGGTTAATATTCGATGTGAAATAATTTCATTTTAAGCATTAAAACATGTGGGGGCTTGTTTTGTGTGAACACTAAATGAATGAAATGGAGGGGTTTGATAGAGTTGATTTTTTATGTGACATATCCTGTTTGACATTCAATAAAATTCTACTTCTGAAAATCAAAAAAAAAGTTGACTCTTGGGTGGGTTTGTTTCCCACGCCTCGTCTGACTGCACTGCCTTCTTTGCTCTTGCAGCCAAACTGCATAGAATACATTTTTAAAAGTAAGCATCTGTGAATATTCTCTTCTGTTTTTCTGTCTCCTCAGCCTGGCTGTCCTGTCTGTGTTGCCCCTGTATGGGGTTTACAGGTCTGTTTGCCATTCTTTCCCTTAATTGGGTCCAAGTCTTCCTTAAGCAGCTGAGCTGCCAGGGAATCTGTTCCTGAAAAGATAGGGGCCTCTCGTTCTTTCAGGCACAAATGGCCTCTGCGGCTTTGAATGTGTGTCACTCTCAAGAAGAATGTGTGAGTGTTGGGGACTGCAGACCACCAGACCCTGAATCTCCTGTAAACAATTTGTTTTCCTCTGCTCTGAGCAGCCTGCAGCTGCTCTGAGCACGAGACCCTGATAGGGGAGTGGGTTCTGATGGGTCTGCAGCTGAAAGATCCCGAGAGCTGGGGCGGGGCCAGAGCCCTATATAAGCTGCCCTTGAGCACAAGAAAGTGGGCATTCTCGTGTCAAGGATGACCCGTGTCCCCGTGTCTCTCTCTGTGTGTGCTTGTGTTTCTAAGTCTCCAGCTTTGTTCTCAGCCCATGTAACCACAAAGCATAGAACAGGCGTTGTGTTTCTAGTGTGAGCACAGATCCCCTCAGCAAGCCAACTCAGAGAAGGACAACAGTGGCCAAGTGGGGAAGATGATGTCACCGGGGAAGAAACCCTTTGGTTCAGATTGTGCGCTATGGCGAAAGCCGCGTCTTATTTTGTAGCTCTGCCTTGTTTGGAATTCACTAGATGGAACAGACTGATAGAAAAATTGAAACAATTTTCCTGGCTCTGCTCCCAAGTACTAAGATGATAGGTGCATCCAGACCACCATGCTCAGCCTCGAAGTCTGTCCCTCGTCTCTGGAGTGGTTGAGGCAGTACTCACACCTGATAAAGTACAAGTGCACAGCCTTGGTTTTGTTCCACCTCCCTGAGTAGAGCCTCACCACAGACTCGCAGCTGTGTGTGCTTGGAACCACTAATGGAACGGAGAACTTGCTTTATTATATGAGACTTAGTAACTGATTTCTGAATTCGGTGTAGTTCCTTTGATGGTAGCAGTAAGATTCTTTTTTAATGGAGCTTGACAATCTGACCTGAAATTCAGTCGGGGAAAACCCAGGGAAATAGATGGAGGAACAGAGCAGAGGTCCCAGCCCTGTGTGACAGTGGCAGACACTGCTGTGTCACTTCAACGAAATGGCAGCAAAAGGGAAGACTCATCTCCTTGAGACAGGGTCTCTGTGTGACCCAGGCTGGCTCAGGCTCACTGTGGTGCCAAGGATGACCCCGACTCCTCCTCCTCTGTCCTGAGCACTGAGATCACAAGGATGTGGTGGCTCACACCTGTAATCACAGCACTCAGGAGGCTGAGGCGGGCACTTCTCTGTGAATTGGAGGTTAGCCTCCTAACAAGTTTCAAGGCCAGTCATGGTTACACAGTAAGAGCCTGTCAAACAGAAGAAAACAAAAAAGAAAAACAACCTTTGATGAAACTAAACTTATTCTCAGAAGACAATTCATAGCCGTTCATTTTATTTAATATGTAATTCATATGTATTAGAAAACAGGATAAATTAATGCTGGGTGGCGCACACCTTTAATCCCAGCACTTAGGAGGCAGAGGCAGGCAGATCTCTGTGAGTTCGAGGGCAACCTGGTATACAAGAGCTAGTTCCTGGATAGGCTAAAAAGCTACAGAGAAACCCTGTCTTGAACCCCCCCCTCAAAAAAAAAAAAAGAAAGAAAGAAAAAAGAAAACTGGATAAATTAAAATAATAGGCATTAATATAAAACTAGAAATTAATGTGTTACTTTTAGAAACAAAAAATTATTAAATCAAAATTTAAAACCATGTATAATACAACTTCCATAAAGGAAATTTAAATTACTCAAAGATTTGCTCCAATCTATGGGGAAAATATTAGTTTCACTGAAAATTCTAAATTACTAAATTCAAATCAAGGAAAATATATATACCAGAGTATAGAAAAAAGAAGGAAACTTGAGAAATTGCTCTGTATGAAATGAGTGTAATGAGACACAGAAAACTGACTGGGCAGTGGCATCACGGACTTTTAGTCTTGAGAAGCAGAGGTAGGCAAATCTCAAAGTTCAAGGTCACCTTGATCTACAGAGTGAGTTCCAGGATAGCCAGGGTTACACAGAGAAACCCTGTCTTAAAAAAACAAACAAAACAAAACACTGAAACCTGAAAAATTACCACTTTTTTCTATTTCAAAAATTACCATTTTTCTACCATACCTGAATCAAAGATTTATCCTAAGAAAGCAAAAACTACCTAATAGTCATTTAAGGATAGAAGTTATACTAGAAAGTCTACTAATAGAATTAAAATTAAAGCCGGGCGATGGTGGCGCACGCCTTTAATCCCAGCACTCGGCAAGCAGATCTCTGTGAGTTCGAGACCAGCCTGGTCTACAGAGCTAGTTCCAGGACAGGCTCCAAAGCCACAGAGAAACCCTGTCTCGAAAAACCAAAAAAAAAAAAAAAAAAATTCTTTCTCTTCAAGAAAACTGACATTTTTTTCACACAGACCAAACTTTATAATATACTGAGAATCTCCTGTATCACCAAAGACCTTGAAGGTGAAATTGTATGAGGAAAAATGTTACTTGTGCAGTGGCATGGACCCATAGTGACAGATTTATTCATGTCAGGGGCATAAAAACAAAAACAAAAACACTCTCAAGCAGCCAGTAACCTAGCACTATCTTCTGGTTAAAAACTAGAAAAGCAGATGTTCCTTCTTACGCATCTCATGTGCATTTGTTCCCTTCTGTGNCCACAGAGAAACCCTGTCTCGAAAAACCAAAAAAAAAAAAAAAAAAGAATTAAAATTAAAAAAAAACTTTCATTGACTTTATTTATTTGACTTTTTATGAGACAACATTTCTTTATTGGCTGTCCTAGAACTAGCTCTGTAGACCTCGAACTCACAGAGATCCGCCTGCCTCTGCCTCCCAAGGGCTGGGATTAACGGCGTGCGCCACCACTGCCTGGCTAGTTGAATCTTTTTAAAGTCTAGTAAAGGAGCTGGAGAAGTGGCGTGACAGGTAACAGCTCTTGTTTTTGCAGAGGACCTTGGTTTGGTTCCTAGCACCCACATGGTGGCTTGCAACTATACCTACAGTACTAAGGGATCCAATGCCTTCTTCTGACTTCCATGGGCACCAGGCGCCCACATGTCACACAAACAAACATACATATGAGCAAAATACCTATACATATTCTCTTAGTCGTTGTTCTGTTGCTGTGAAGAGACACCAGGACCAAAGCCACTCTGATAAAAGAAAGCATTCAATGGGGCTGGTTTACTGTTTCAGTGTTTAGTCCATTATCATCATGGTGGGGAGCATGGTGGCATGCAAGCAGTTACTGGAGCAGTAGCTGAGAGCTACGTCCTAATCCGTAGATAAAGAGAAAGAGTGTGGGCCTGAAATAAGCTTTTGAAATCAAAGCCCAGCCCCAGTACACACGTCAAGGCCACACCTGCTCCAGCAAAGCTGTAACTCCTAATCCTCACAATCCTTTCCTAGAGTGCCACCCCCTTGTAACTATGAGCCTAGTGGGGCATTCTTAGTCAAACCACCACACACATAAAATAAAATATGTATTTTTTAAAAAAAGAAAAATCTTATGGTCATTTTCATAATTACTGAAATGATAAAATTCAGCTCCCTTCCTCATAAGAAGATCCAGTAAGTTAGTAATAAGTTTTCTGTGTTGGGGATCAGAGCCAGTGCATGGTCAACAAACATTCTATCACTGAACTACAGTTCCTTTATCTTATATATATATAATTTATTTTTATTTACTGTTCATTGGTTCTTTGCCTGAATATATATCTGTGTGAGGGTATCAGAAACCTTGTAACTGGAGCTACAGACAGCTGCGAGCTGCCATGTGGGTGCTGAGAATTGAACCTGGGTCCTCTGGAAGTTCTCTTAACCTCTGAGCCATCGCTCCAGCACCCAGTTCCTGATTTTAAAATACTTTTCTTTTTAAAGGAAAAAAAATCTCATGTATCCCAGGCTGGCCTAGAACTTCTGAGTCCCCTTCTTCCATCTCCGAGTGCTAGGATTACAGGCATGTACCCCCACGCCCTTTCTTCCATCTCCTGAGTGCTGGGATTGCAGGCATGTGCCCCCTGTTTCTGTGTGCTGGAGGCTACGCCCAGATGGACTTTGTTCATGCTAGGCAGGCATTTGAATTGTTTCCATCTTTTCCTTGCGTAGAATACTGTAGCATTGCCCTGTGCTGTAGTGCAAGTCCGGCGGCAGCTCAGCCCATAGCCACCTTATTGCTGGACTCCTGGTGTCCCGTCGGCTCCTAGTGCTTAGGTTCTGCTCTGCAGAGAGTCCGTAAGCGCTGACTTGTAGTCTGAATGAAGAACAAGAAGAACATGGCGTCTTCCAGTGCCGCCCCACTCATTTCCAGAGGAGGCTGTGTTTCTGTCCTGTGGGAGGAGGATTTCTTCGTAATTACCCCATGCTTAGTAGGAGTGAAAGGGAGGGATTTTCTGCTAGTCTTTAGATTTCTGACTTTAAAATCGTGTTTGTTTATTGTATTGCTTTGTTGGTTTATTTATTTGCAGAGTCTCATTATTATGTAGCCCTGGCTGTCCTGGAACTGGCTATGTAGAGCAGACTGGCCTCAAATTCATAGGTTTCCCTGCCTCTCTGTTCCAAGTGCTGGGATTAAAGGCTAGTATCTCCATATTCAGCCACTTTTATTATTTTTTAGTTGGTTGGTTGGTTTTGTTGTTGTTTTGTTTTGTCTTTTGTTTGTTTGTTTTTTTTTTTCAAGGCAAGGTCTTGCTGTCTGGCCCTGGCTGGGTGGAACTCACTACGTAGACCAGGCTGGACTTGAACTTAACAGCATTCCTCTTGCCTGTGTCGCAAAAATACAGGGATTACAGGCGTCCCTCATTATGGCTCATCAAGGTTGTTGTTTTATAAGAAACCTGGCTTTCCCTAGCTGAGCTGTCAGAACTCAACATTCTCTATTTCAACAGGCAACAAGAGTAATCTCGGAGGTGAAGATCTTCAGAAACAAGATTGTAGAGGAACTCTTCAGATATGGATGCAGTGAGTTGTCCTTGGGTTTCTGAGCAACCTCCAGCTTGCCAAGAAGAAAGAGCAAACACACCCATTCCACGGCAGAAGAAACTGAGAAGCCTAGTTACAACTGAAAATAATTCCCCACTGGAAGATGTCTCAAAATATGTGGACATTAATATTACTACACTTTCTCAAGACGAGAAAACAAAGACATTGGGTAGGTGTCCTGCATGGGAAGCAGTTTCCCAAAAGTTCTTCTCTTATTTCCCACCAGAGGATTCACACTGGTGAGAAGCCCTATGACTGTAGCCAACTGTGGAAAAGAATTCAATGAGGAAACAAACCTTAATAAGCACAAATGAATCCATACAGGGGAGAAACCCTATTCCTGTTCTCAGTGTGGTAGAAACTTTGATCAGAATTTTCATCAGAGTCGCCATGAAGGAATTCATGTAGGGGAGAAAATATTTTAGTGTCCAGGATGGGGGAAAACCTTCCCCGCAAATGAAGAATTTGTAGTTTCATCTGCAGAGTCGTGAGGCTGAGAGATCATACACATTGCAACAACAACAACAACAACAAAAAGGAAGTGGGAGAAGGGAGATTGGTCAGTTGTCACTTAGTTTCTCAGCCCCAGGAGCAGAGCTGGGATCAGGAAAGGGCCCGCCTCTGCCTGAAAAGTTTCACAAAGAATTAAGAACCCAAACATTTTATGATTGAAGAACAATTCTAAATAAATGGGTCAAAAGAAAAGAATGTCAAGTAAGACATTCCAAAAATGCAAATAAAATTTAGTGTACTAACATTTGCAAGATAAAGCAAGAGCGGCAAGAGGGACGCCTGTCCTCAAGGGCACATCTGAGTAGGGAGGTCTGAAACGAACGGCTTTTAGTTTTCCATTTCTGTAATGAAAGACCCGATACAAGTGAAAGAGGGAAGGTTTATTTAGACTCAGTGTCTGGGCTCTCAGTCCACAGTTGCTTGACCCTGTTGCTTTGGATCTTTGGGGTGGAGGGGGTCTGTTTTCCTCATGGGATCCTTAAAAGCAAAGGAGGACAAAAGAGGAGTGGGGAGTCCTATGTCTCCCTAGTGATCTGCTTATGATCTGACTTCTTTGCACTAAGCTTTACCCCCCCCCCCAAAGGTCCCACCACTTCCCGATAGCAACCGGACCTGTAGCACATGAACCTGAAACACTTGTACCAGAAATCGCGGTTGACATTAAAAGAATAACAATGGAGCTGGAGAAGTGGCCCAGCGGCTGGAAGAATGGCTGTTATTTCAGAGGACCCAGTTTGGCTCCCAGTACCCACGTAGTAGTTAACACCTGTAACTCCAGTTCGAGAGGACACAATGCCCTCATCTGTTCTCCTCAGGAACTGCACAGAGATAATACACAGATGTACATACAGGCAAAACACCCACATTCATACATAAAAATCTCAGATTTTAAAAGCACTAAAGGAATCCTATGAACAAATGTCACAAATTGGAAAACCGGAGTGAAAGAGAGCAGTTCTTTTAAAGACAGTCCGCGTATCAGCCTTACACAGGAAGGAATGGATGAGTAGCTGGGATCACCTTGCTGGGCCGGGTCTTCTCTCCAGATGTGCTCGCCTTAAAGACTGAAGCTTAGCGTTGTCACCTAGGAGCTGGGCGGGCACAGTTTGGAGTTTTCCCAGTGAACAGAATTTCATAGAACAGCTGTAGCAAGTTAGGTCTCTGTGATTGTGACATCACAAAAGATTGTTCTGGGATGACTGCTGAGAACATGAAGAATATTGTCCTGTATCAGACTTGTTGACACACGCCTTTAATCCCGACAGAGACAGGTGGATCTACATGAGTTCTAGACCAGTCTGATCTACAAAGTGGGTTCAAGGACAGCCAGGGCTACCCTACTTCAAAAAACAAATATATATATATATATTCCTGACCACAGAATGGCCCACAAACAGTGCTCCAAGGTGATTGGCATGATTGGTACTGCTTCTTGGCCGGAACTCACACTTTATCTATTCCTTTCTTCTAGATGGCATACACCAAGACAGCCAGTCAATCACAAGCAACCTAAATAAGAGTATGTCATCTGAAGCAACAGTCTCCAGTTCTTTCCTGACATCACCCAAAGCAGCTCAGCTTGTTATTTCTTTTTAGCAGCTTCTATCTATTCTCCGAGCATTTGCAGCTCCCACCCGTTCTCCAGGCATGTGGAACACTACCTGTTCTCCAAGCAGGTGCAGCTCCACCTGTTCTCCAGGCATGTGCAGCTCCCACCTGCTCTCCAGGCATGTGCAGCTCCCACCTGTTCTCCAGGCAGGTGCAGCTCCACCTGTTCTCCAGGCATGTGCATTCTTTCCTCTGGCAATTGGGAGTAAAGGGTAGGTGTGTTCGCGGTGCCTCTTGTCAGGAGGGCACTCATGATTGGAATGAAGGGGTTTGATTGAAGCATTTTGACTGGGCAGGAGGGATGGCTCAGCAGTCACTTGCTGTTCTTCCAGAGGACCCAGATTTGGTTTGCGACCCACGTCAGGTGATTCACAGACACCTGTAACCCTCTTCTAGCTCCTTGGACAACCACACACACATGGCACACCCATGTTTTAAATCTTTAATATTTATTTAGTCAGGACTAGGAATCAACCCTAGGCCTTGCACATGCTAGGGAAATACTCTACAGCTGAGCTCCGTCCCAAGCGACTTTCCACCTTTCACCTGTTTAGTCTACAGCAAGGATTTTATTCTCCCAAGAGATAGTAGATGCTTTTCTAACAAAAAAATGTTAAGTTTCACATAGTAGAATAAAAATTGTTTTCTTGGAAATTACTTCTTAATATGATTTTCTTAGCCTTACTGAGAAGATGAAAATTTCATGGTAAGCACTCTCCTTAAAGCCCCTTTCATGTCCTTGTTCCTCAGGCTGTAGATGAACGGGTTCAGCATGGGGGTCACCACCGTGTACATCATGGCAGCTGCCATGTCCCTCCCAGCTGAGCGAGAGGAGGAGGGGTTGAAGTACAGGGATATGATAGTGCCATAGAAGAGGCAGACCACAGCCAGGTGGGAGCTGCAGGTGGAGAAGGCTTTCCATCTTCCCCTTGCGGATGAGACTCTCAGGATAGCACAAGCAATGAGGATGTAAGAGACGAGGATACAAACAAATGGGGCTATCATTAACAGCCCGGCAACAAAAAGAATCATTAGCTCATTGAGGTGTGTGTCTGAGCAGGAGAGGTTCAAAAGGAGACTCACCTCACAGAAAAAGTGGGGGATGGTGTTGTCTGCACAGAATGAGAGCTGAGCCATGAGCAGGGTGTGCAACAGAGCATTCAGGCTGGCTACCACCCATGACCCGAACACAAGGAGGGCACAGAGCTGATGGGTCATCTTTGTTGTGTAGTGTAAGGGGTGGCAGATGGCTACATACCGGTCATAGGCCATCACAGCCAGCAGGAAATTATCCATGACAGCAAACACACAAAGAAAATATAGTTGTGTGAGACACCCAGAGAAGGAAATGGCCTGATTCCTGAGTATGTGCATGGCCAGCACCTTGGGGACAGTGGTGGAGGAGAAGCAGACNTATGTGCATGGCCAGCACCTTGGGGACAGTGGTGGAGGAGAAGCAGACATCCACGAAGGATAGGTTGCTGAGGAAGAAGTACATGGGGGTGTGCAGGCGGGAGTCTGTGCCGATGGCCAGGATGATGAGCAGGTTCCCCAGGACAGTGGCCAGGTACATGGTGAGGAAGAGCAGGAAGAGGAGCCGCTGCTGCTGGGGATCCCTGGAGAGTCCCAGGAGGAGGAACTCAGAGACACTCGACTGGTTGCTGCCGCTCATGAGTCTGAGCCCAGCTAACTACAGAGAACAGACACGGGTGAGAATGCAGTCTGCAGGTTTGGATGCTACAACCAGGTTTATATTAAGACTGCATTAAAGTTTCTGAATTAAGATCCACTCCTATTTTCTACACACTCAATTTAAAAATCCCAGTTTTACATGGTGCTGGCTTCCAAGGTCCACTCTTTCAGTTTTATGGAATATAACATAAAAAGCATTCACGCACACACACCATCCTTCCCTGCAACCCTATGTACCTCTGGTAACACCCCAGTCTCTCCCACCCCTTAGCAGCTCAAGGAGAAACACAGGCAGTTATTGTACTGATCGCAAGCTCCAATAGCTGCACATGTGACTCCTGCTGTTCTCTGTGGAGGAGAGTGAGCAGCTCTTGCTGCAAAAGAGATGCTGTCATTTCTCCTATTCTGAAAATACCTGCACAGGCCAGCTCTACTGTTTTCCACTTCGGAGTTGCTGGGCAACAGTGTCCTTTATTCCAGGGAAGGATGGGAAGGTCTCAGGAATACACGAAGAGTGGATGATCACTGTCTTAGCTTTCTGTGCCGGAAGGAGGTTTGGGAAAATTAGGCAGGTATTTCCCACAGCATCTAATCCCACTGAGTACAGACTCCCTAAGCATCTCATTAAAGATCTGCAGAAAGGTATTGTGCCACCGAACTCCTGGTCCCCACTGACCGGCAATGATGGAGTGTATCATCGAAGTTAGAATTTGGGGATGAGGAAATCACGGTGGGGAGAAGCCCTAGAGAAATTCCCTGAGAGCTTCATCAACTTAGTTAACTACACAAGTAGATTTGAAGGATTGGTCCAGAGTCTCTCTTTCAGCACAGAAACTGGAGGTATTGTGTTGCCAGAGTGAACATCCTCTTACCACATAGGGTTGTGTGGTACACATGCTGATAGGAAGCCCTGGGAGTACAGAAGGGAGCAACTGGCCTTCCAGGGTCGGGTTTGATCCCGTAAAACATTTGATGTAAAGTACAAAGAGGGCAAAGCAAAAAAATGTGTAGTCTGCCGTGACTGAAGGTTACTTTGGGCTGTCTTTCCAGCCCACAGTGAGTCATCCATTTCTGAAAATCTATAGGCTCTTCGCCAGCCTCATTTATCTTCCCACCCCTTCCAGACAGGATTCATGGGAGGACTTGGAAACCTAGCCTGGGGACAGAGAACCGGCAGGCCAGCCTCAGTGTGGCTTGTCCCATCCATGCGCATCTAGAAGCTCACAGTGGTTTCCTGCTTCACTCCCAGGTGAACAAGTAAATGTCTAGAGGTGACGGCAAAAAACAAGGTAAACACGAGGGAGGAGAAAGAAGCTGGAGGGAGTCCTGGGGCTGCTGATGTGGGATTCAGGGTATTTCTAATGCCCAGCTTGAGGAGGCCTTCATTCCCATCCATTGTTCAACAATAAGAGCCGCATCTTTCTTAGCTCATCCTGGAAAGGAGTTTAAAAAAGAGATATCATGTGCTTATCCAGACACACTGGAGTCCAGTCTAAAGCAAGAAGATTGCCGCCATGTTCCAGGCTACCCTGATCTAACATACCAAGGCTCAGTCTCATAAAAACAAAAACATAACAAAGGAAAAGAAACACTAGACGCTAGAGAGATGACTCAGTGGTGTAGAGGACTTTTTGCTCATGCAAACGGTTTGGGTTCCATTCCCAACACTCTCATGGTG